GTCCACTTGAGAGTTACATGCATGGAGTCTGTTGTGGTTTAGCGGTGAAGGCTGCAAGAACAAATCACGATACATAACAAATCCACATGGAAGTTTATTGATAAGTCATGGAGGTTGACCTCAGAAAGGGAGGGAGCAGAGAGAGATCAAGGAATGGACAGAACTCACTGTTTAAAGGGACCTTTGTGCACGCATACAGAGACTTACACAATCACAAAGTGCATGTGAATAGACTACATAGGCCTGGCCGTAGTGAAAGGATCAGGCATTATGCTGGCCTGCCCCTGTTACCTGGTGGAACAGGCAGTACCCTGGTCAGCCCAAGGTTCCATGGGAACTAAGTCTGCACGCAGGTGCAGAGGACCCCTTTAAAAGACAAGTCCCTGCCCATTTACGCTCTCTGTTTCCTCTCTCTGTTTTCCCGCTCTGTTTCCTCTCAGCTTCCTTTCTCTCTACTCTGTCTCCCACCTATACGCTCGCTCTGTCTGTCTATGGCGACCAACCATGGCGGTCAGCCATTACCCTGTTCCTCTTCTCTTAGTCTCCCTACTCTGCCGGGCCTTATAATAAACTTATAGTCAATATGTCTCATGTCTCAGCATTTCTCTTTTCTTCTTTTTAAACAAAAGAATAACACATAGGGCCCTGGGTTGACTAAGTATTTGCCTGAATACTGACCACACATGTGTGGCCATAGAACCCTTGCGGCTGACTAGGTGATGCTGGAAATGCTAACAGAGTCACTCTGCAGAATCTAGAGTGCACAGGGAAGATGCAAGGTCCTTCACAGATACCAACAACCCAGAACCCTGTCTGCCTGTGAGGTCCCTCTGGGTTCCTGTGTAATTCCAGAAACCTGATCAAAAGGTTCAAGATCTGCTTTTGTTCCACAGCCTTCTGAGGAGATATGTAGGAGGCCTCATAACATGAAGAAGACAATTTTAGAGCTCCGTGCCCCAAATGTACTTTAAACTTTTGGAAATAGATCACAGTTAAATTAACTTTCATTATTGTGCAAATCAGATTTCCCCTGTTTGATAGTCACCTGAGACAAATGGCTTGAAAGAAGCAAAGATTCAGCTGGATTCCTAGTTTCAAAGATATCAATCCACATAGAGTTGGCTCCCTTGTTTGGGGTCTGTGGCAGGGAGGAGAGCATGGTGGGAAGTTCATGCTAAAGCAAAGCTGCCCAGTTAGTGGCAGAAGACAGGAGGGCAGAAAAGGCACCTGGGGTCCCTATGTGCCCTTCAAGGACACACCCACAGTGTCATAACTTCTTTCTGCTGAGTCCTGCCTCCAAAGGTTACCATCCACAACAGCACCACAGGCTGTGGGCAAGCATTTATTACATGAGTCTTTCAAAGATACTTACAATCCAGCTCCTAAGCCGGTGTGGTCTGCAAGTCTCTAACCCCAGCACTCAGGGAGGGTGAGGCAAAAGGATGGCAAATTGGAATCCAATCTGGGCTTCCAAGCAAGTTCAAACCAAACCTGGGATACAGATCGAGACCCAGACCCAACACATCCTAAGTAATCCCAAAAGATCAATTCCTTAAAAACAGGTTATTATGACAATGTTATAAATGCTGTGTTCCTGCACTTGTCAGAGATGTATGCTGGCACTGGGCATCTGTCAGTCAGCAGGTTAAAAGCAGTCATCACAACTGTATCCCAGGGATGAAGAAATTCCAAGTGGTGAACACCCGCTCTCACCAGTGGAATCTGCACAAAGAGATATCCATCAAGTGGGACAGCAAAATACTGTGATTTTTATGGCAAGTGTGGAATTATTTCTTGAGTTAATACCTTACCTCATTCATCAGTTTAAAAAAAATCTGCTTACTTCTAGGGTGTAAGTCTGGACGCACATCTGAAAATGTGCCACTGATTGGAATGCAAGGGAGGTTTTGATGATAAAATAATTAAAGGGGTTTTTATTTTCTTGAAGCCAAAACTGCTAGCCATGCAGCACTAGGGGTGTAGCTCAGAGTGCGTAAGACCCAAGGTTCAAATCCCAAAGCAAAGACAAACAGATCTATATACAGGTTGAAGTTTAGTGTATTTTTTTATTAACATTGGCTTATACTAGGGAATCATAGATAAAGTGGTGTCCTACTGAAGGTCCTCAGTGTAAGACTAGACCATTTGTACTAATTCTGGAGGGAATGTGGATAGTTGTAAATGTAGCAGTTGACACAAGCTAGAGTCATCCAAGAAAAGACCCTTAGTTGAGAAAATGCCTTAATGAGATCCAGCTGTAAGGCATTTTCTCATTTAGTGATCAATGGGGGAGAGGCCAGGCTGTTGTGGGTGGTACCACCCCTGAGCAGGTATCCTAGATTCTACAAGAAGATGGGTTAAGCAAGCCGTGGGAAACAAGCCAGAAAGCAACACCCATTCATGGCATCTGCACCAACTCCTGCCTTCAGTGTTGTGGAACATTAGTTGAAAATGTGTTACATTTGTTTATGCTGTGGAATATTGGTTTAATGATGCGAAGATGTGTTGCATTCTTTTTTGTTGCATTTGTTTAGCTCTGTAAAGCTGTGTTACTTCACCTGTCTAAAACAAAAACACCTGATTGGTCTAATAAAGAGCTGAATGGCCAACAGCCAGGGAGGAGAAAGGGTAGATAGGATGACAGGCAGAAAGAATAAATGAGAGAAGAGGAAAAAGCAAGAGAGAGGACACCACGGGCCAGCCGCCCAGCTACACAGCCAGCATGGAGTAAGAAGTAAAGGTATATAGAGTAGAGAAAGATAAAAGCCCAGAGTCTATAGGTAGATGGGATAATTTAAGAAAAGCTGGCTAGAAACAAGCCAGGCTAAGGCTGGGCATTCTTAAGTAAGAATAAGTCTCTGTATATTTATTTGGAAGCTAGGAGGGGGGCCCCAAAGAGCAAAGAGTAAAAAAGAACAACTACACTCTGTGATCCTGCCTTGTTTGAGTTCCTGTCCTGACTTGCTTCAGTGTTGATCAACAGTGCTGAAGTATAAGCCAAATAAACCCTTTCCTCCCCAACCTGCTTCTTGATAATGGTGTTTGTCTCAGCAATAGAAACCCTTGCTAAGACACTGATACAGGAAACAGATAAATATTATACAGAATGCTCATAGTACAATTTTTTGTTACTGTTTCTGGATATAGTTTTTAAAGTTTGTTAACTCTGTGTGTGTGTGTGTGTGTGTGTGTGTGTGTGTGTGTGTGTGTTGTGTGTGTGTGTGTGTGTGTATGTGTGTGTGTGTGCCAGATGTGTGCAGGTACTAACAAAAACCAAAAAGGTGTCAGATTACCTGAGAGCTGGAATTTTCTGCAGTCGTGAGCTCTGGGTGACAAACGAGTCTTTTGGAAGAGAAAGAAGGTCTCTGGAAGAGTAGGAAGTGCCCTTAAGCACTGAGCTATCTCACCAATCTCTAAGATTTATTTTTAGTTATATTTGTTGGTCTGTGTAGGCCAGAAGCTTCTGACCCACCAGCAGCTCCCAAAGAAACACAATGAGGTTTATATTAAATTTTAATTAACTCGTTTTTTAAATCTATGATTTGCTATGTGGCTTGGAACATTTTCTCGGTACGGCATGCCCATTTTGCTTCTCACTGCATCTGGTGGTGACTCCTGTCTCTGCCCTTCTTCTTCCCAGCTTTCTCAGTTTGGCCTCCTGCCTAACCTCATCCTATTCAGCTATTGGCCAGTCAGCTTCTTTATTAAACCAATCACATCAATAAATAGTACACAGTTTCCGGGAGCCAACCTAATTAACAGGTAATGAGCCTGAGCAATGCCATTGTGATAACCTCCAAGCTTAAATCTCTGCTTCCTCTTTTTAGAGCTGTTTCTCAAATGACCACTGGCTGTTAGACGGGCGGGCTAGAGATAGTAATATCCTTACAAACAGTTCCTGCCTGGCTGAGCATTCCTTTACGGCCACCCCTACCCTGGAAAGTACCCCCCCCCCCCACACACACACGGCTATAAAAACTCTGCCCTTCATTTTATTAAATTCAGAGCTTGATCAGCTTTTCCGACTAGCTCTCATTCTTCGGGTCTCCTGTCCTTCCTTTGTCTCCCCCACCCAGGTTCCTGCATTGATAAGTGTCCCTGGGGCCAGATAACACAGCTCTGGGTGTATAAAGCTCTGTTGTATAAAGGAATATACAACAAGTCTGTGAACATGTGTATGTACATGCCAACAAAAGTCATTAGAAGATATTAGATGCCTGGAAATAGAGTTACACACAGTTGTAAGCCACCCAAATAGGTGCTGGAACCAAACTTGGGTCCTCTGGAAGAGCAGCAAGAGCCCTTAACTACTGAGGATTTTCTCCAGCCCTAAACATCATATTAATTGAACATGAAAGACAGGATGTAAATATCCCTAATGAATCTGTCTTTCCAAGGCTCTATTTTCTCTAAGTACCTAGACAGGCTATTAAGAACTTGGTCTGTCTGTAACCAAAGTGCAGTCACAAAATCTGCAGTTATACAGAAATTGCAGTCTTTTATGCAGGGAATACAGAGATTTTCATACAATGAATTCAGATTCAGACTTCAATCTCTGCCTTATGCAAGATGACTTGGAATTAGATTCCTTACAACAGAGCTGGCAGCACTGCTCTTTTTGAGTGTCCGTTGTTTGACCAAGTGAAGAAACTGAAGGCTGATTGCACAATGAGGCAATGTGCCAATCTGTGGGTTCTGCATGTTACACCTGACTGCCAGCTCCACCCACAGGGCTGCTCTATATGTATGGGACCAAGCGCAGCGCAGCTCACCCATCATCCCCAATTTCCAGGACAACCAGGACTGTGTTCTCACAGGAGTCACAACATAGACTGGGTAAGACACGGAGCTCTGGGACTGGGACAGGAGGGGCAGGGATGGGGCAGTGTCAGGAGAAATGGAACTGTGAGCTCACAGTGCCAGCAGAGGGCCTTCAGGAGGAGACAGGAAAAACAGCCAAGAGGGGGAGTAGTTACTTCTCTTCTGCTCTCACAGGAAACATGGGTGTGAAGCTGCTTGAGTCCCGACTTTGTCTCCTGCTGCTGCTGGGATTTTTCATAATGGTTGCCTCTTTCCAGATCCCACGTAATTTAACCCCTTCCCAGTGGTTTGAAATCCAACATGTAAATAATAGTACCATCCTCCAATGTACTCCTGCAATGAAGGGAGTCAACAATTACACAGGACGATGCAAGAACATAAATACTTTTCTTAATACAAGTTTTGCTGCTGTTGTTAGTGTGTGTGGCAATAAAAATACTACTTGCCGCAATGGCCACACAAATTGCCATAATAGTTCAGCTCCGGTATCTTTAACTTACTGTAACCTCACAACTTGGTCAAGCAATTATACACAATGTCGATACCAAACGACACCAGCAACAAAGTTCTACAGAATTGCTTGTGACAATAGAAAGCCACAGGACAGTCCTAACTATCCAGTGGTTCCGGTTCACTTGGATGGGATATTTTAGCTCCAGTACCAGGACTTTGTACCTTCGCTCTGTATCTGCTGCTTACACAATCAAGCACTAGTGAAAAGCTAATTCCTGAACTGCCGTCATCATCTGTCCTGTGAAACCTGTTCCTGCCTCCCTTCAAATTTTGGTGAATAGATCTGTTCTATTCAATAAACACCTTTACATATTTATCTCCAAATATCTCTCTCTGTGTGTGTCTGTGCTTAGTGTTACATGTGTACATGCATGTGCCTGTCTGTGTGTATGTAGGCATGTTTGTCTCTGTGTTTGCATGTACATATTTGTGCATGTGTGTATGAGTGTGGTTCTGTGTGTGTTAAATGTGTGTGTGTGTGTCTGTGTGGGTGCATGCATGTTTGTGTGTATTTGTATGTTGAGACATGTCCTCATGCTCACATAACAAGCACTCTACCACAAGAGCCATCTACCCAGGCTCTGGGAACAAATTTGAGTATGAAAAGAGACAGATATCTTTCCAGAAAGTTCCTACAGGGCATTGTCCCTGAAGTTTGTCTGTG